CTGGTGTGAATGTCTCTGACCAAACAATCAGAAACAGACTTCATGAGGGTGGCCTGAGGGCCCGACGTCCTCTAGTGGGCCCTGTGCTCACAACCCGGCACCGTGGAGCTCGACTGGCATTTGCCATTGAACACCAGAATGGGCAGGTCCGCCACTGGTGCCCTGTGCTTTTCACAGATGAGAGCAGGTTCACCCTGAGCACATGTGACAGACATGAAAGGGTCTGGAGAAGCCGTGGAGAAGGTTATGCTGCCTGTAACATCATTCAGCATGACCGGTTTGGTGGTAGATCAGTGATGGTCTGGGGAGGCATATCCATGGAAGAACGCACAGACCTCTACAGGCTAGACAGTGGCACCCTGACTGCCATTAGGAAGACCGTACACTGGTGCAGTGGGTCCTGGGTTCCTCCTGGTGTACGACAATGCCCGGCTTCATGTGGCCAGAGTATGCAGGCAGTTCCTGGAGGATGAAGGAATTTATACCATTGAATGGCCCCCACGCTCGCCTGACCTAAATCCAATAGAACACCTCTGGGACATTATGTTTGGGTCCAGGTTGCACCTCAGACTGTCCAGGAGCTCAGTGATGCCTGGTCCAGATCTGGGAGGAAACCCCCCAGGACACCATCCGTCGTCTCATTAGGAGCATGTCCCGCCATTATCAGGCATGCATACAAGCACGTGGGGGCCATACAAACTACTGAGTACCATTTTGAGTTGCTGCAATTAAATTTCAGCAAAATGGACTAGCCTGCTGCATCATTTTTTCACTTTGATTTTTGGGGTGTCTTTGAATTCAGCCCTCTGTAGGTTGATAATTTTCATTTCCATCAAATGATGTGGCATCCTTTCATTCCTAACACATTACCCAGTCCATATTAGCATAGATCCAGCATGATATTTTTCCCTATTGAGATCTGATGTGTTTTCAAAGTGTTCCTTTCATTTTTTGAGCAGTCTACTATTACCGCTGCAAACAAACACAAAGATACACAAACTACAATTTCCACCATTCCTGCTGTTCTTGTGACAATAGAAAGTCTATTCTATTCTATTCTATTCTATTGACATCACTTGACTTTCCCAAATATAATTCCAAACACAAAAGATGATGTTTTGAAAGATATCTCAGTGTTGTTTTGTCCACTGTTGTTTGGACCCCAGTGTTCTTCAAAATGTCTTATTTTATGAGCAGCAGAAGAAAGAAGCCATGCAGGTTTGAATGACATGAGGGTGAGTAAGTGATGATTTTTGGGTTATCATTGTTTTCTGATCTGATCACCTGTTGGCCGGCTGGTAGGCTCCACACCCGAGGTTGATTGAGAACTGCACCAGGTGAGTGTTTGCTCCGGGCAGCACCGGCAGCAGCTGCAGGAAGTCCACAGCCCAAACGTGACGGTTCGCTCCACCATGAAACTTCTGTTCTAGACAAAACTGAGTGGCTGGAGTCTGAAGCTCTGTGGGCAAACCAACCGAGACGACTGAAGGATTCTGAAAGAGAAAGCCAAGAGATGTCATGGTGTATACAGATGGGAACATGACACAGTAAATCACAAAAGAAATAAGAGAAATAGTTGAATGATACATTCTGAACAGAACATGTCAACTGTTGAAAATGATTATGTAACCTAAATCTGACTATAGACTGTATTAGGTTTCTACCCTGTAGGCTGAATATGGAAGTACGTCCAGAAGCACATGATCTTTCCTGCCCTCTGAACGACCAAACAGGACCACATTATTCTTGTTGGATTCTCCAGGATCGCAGTCTCCACCCCCTGCATCGAACAAAGAGATCAGACACTGAAAACACAGGGATCAGACACTGAAAACAGATAGATCAGACACTGAACACACAGGGATCAGACACTGAACACAGAGAGACCAGACACTGAACACACAGATATCAGACACTGACCACACAGGGATCAGACACTGAACATAGAAAGATCAGACACTGAACACAGAGAGATCAGACACTGAACACAGAGGGATCAGACACTGAACACACAGATATCAGACACTGAACACACAGAGATCAGACACTGAACACACAGAGATCAGACACTGAAAACAAAAAACACACACACTGCCCCCACAGGGATCAGACACTGAACACACAGATATCAGACACTGAACACACAGGGATCAGACACTGAACATAGAAAGATCAGACACTGAACACAGAGAGATCAGACACTGAACACAGAGGGATCAGACACTGAACACACAGATATCAGACACTGAACACACAGAGATCACTGAACGACCAAACAGGACCACATTATTCTTGTTGGATTCTCCAGGATCGCAGTCTCCACCCCCTGCATCGAACAAAGAGATCAGACACTGAAAACACAGGGATCAGACACTGAAAACAGATAGATCAGACACTGAACACACAGGGATCAGACACTGAACACAGAGAGACCAGACACTGAACACACAGATATCAGACACTGACCACACAGGGATCAGACACTGAACACACAGATATCAGACACTGAACACACAGGTATCAGACACTGAACATAGAAAGATCAGACACTAAACACCACACAGAGATCAGACACTGAACACACAGAGATCAGACACTGAAAACAAACAGATCAGACACAAAACACACAGAGATCAGACACTGAACACACAGATATCAGACACTGAACACACAGGGATCAGACACTGAAAACACACAGAGATCAGACACTGAACACACAGAGATCAGAAACTGAAAACACACAGAGATCAGACACTGAACACAGAGTTTAGACACTAAACACACAGAGATCAGACACCAAACACACAGGGATCAGACACTGAACACAGAGATCAAACACTGAAAACACAGAGATTAGACACTGAACACAGAGAGATCAGACACTGAGAACACAGAGATCAGACACTGAAAACACAGATCAGACACTGAACACAAAGAGATCAGAAACTGAAAACACACAGAGAGATCAGACACTGAACACAGAGATCAGACACTAAACACACAGGGATCAGACACTGAACACAGAGATCAGACACTTAACACAGAGATCAGACACTGAACACCGAGAGATCAGACACTTAACACAGATTAATCAGACACTGAACACACAGGGACCAGACACTGAAAACACAGGGATCAGACAATGAAAAGAGAGATCAGACACTGAACACACAGAGATCAGACACTGAAAACAGAGATCAGACACTGAACACAGAGATCATACATTGAACACACATCAGCATCAACATAATGTGCTTGTAAAAGTGTAAGTCATACCCATGGTGAAGTGGAAGCGCAGGTTTCCGTAGGCGGTGGTATTGAGGTACGGTGTGCACACCTTCCTCTGTCCATCTTTGAGAAAGACGAGTGCAGATCCAGACTCCACCTCTCCACACTGAACTCCATTCACCGCTCCATCAACCTCCCATCTACAGGCCACACACAGCACTTACAATCACACCTCCATACATATAATTCTCTGTTCTTCAAGAAACTGTTGCTACACTTAACAGCATCTGATCGTAACCTGTTAGTAACCCAAATGTTTGCTTTTGGATATCAAATTTGTCTAGAGAGCTCCAAGATATCAAAACTGAAATGTCAACACCTCAATGTATCACCAGTATGTTTGTCTACTGACTGACCTAACTACTGTTAAAATACTATTTCACAAAAGCAATCCACTAGTACGAATCCCAATCTTATCTGCTGACAGTTGTAAGACGCACCCACTCAGTGGACTCTCAAAGTCTTCCTCCCAGTAGCTGCGTCCCTCTTCACGGTGCAGGTCCACGTCTCGTGTGGAGGCGAAGCTGTGCTCGAATCCCTCTCCGCCATGAAAGTACAAGGAGTTTCCCTCTGACTGACAAGCGTGCTAGTGAATGAATCGAGAGGAAGCGTTACAGTGCTACAGATGTTTCTGACAAAACTGAAATCTCCATGTTGCATGAATGCAGGGCAGATGGAGAAGACATCTCTGTCTGCTAGTGTGGGCTGGTAAACACTCGCCGGGCTGCTGTAAGAAATGACCCTGTCAAAGCTGCGGCCTTGTGTTCTGACCCCTCATATTAGCGCTTTACTTTGCAACATTAAACCATAAACTGAACTCTGCAAGGAAAGCGTTCATAAATCATACCTCATGAAAAAGAAGTGTGCTTGATTGTACTGAATTTGCGCTTGTAGTGCTCAAATCTTAAAAGTATATTTAAAAAAAAAAAATTCTGGCAGACAATATAATATCAATGAAATAAAAGGCCATTTAAGTGACTTAAAGATAAACACTTTAATGACTGAATTTCTTAACACACTTGTCAAATTAAACATTTTACTTTAAAGTACATTTTAAACCATTATGCTTTAACCATCTTCTTTTAATCAACATGTTTTATGTTCTCATGTTTTAAAGAAGTACACTTATTTTGATGTGTTGACTAACATACTAAAGCATATGTAAAGTACTAGTTATAATTTTAACTGTAGTGTGTTATTCAAGATTATATGTATAGTTCATATATTTCAAATGAACTAAATTGCAAATGTGTAATTAAAGATATATTTAAATATATGACTCAAGTTTGAATAGAAATGTATTAAAGTATATATTAGTTTATCATAAATGCTTGTCAGCACATTCAGCAGTAACTTTAACCATACTTCAAAGACAAGAGAAGTAATTTAGAGAAGCACTCTAAAGTTCAACTAATTGCATTTAATATAAATTAAGTCTATAACACATTTTGGTTTTATTGCAGTTAACATGCAATTAAGCATCAGAAAACATTACATTCAGTTCACACTTAAGTATATTATTAAAAAGTACATTATTTTCATAATAAGCACTCGTTTTGAGCTTCTTCACACGGGATGGTTTCTAGTTTGCTGGATGACACTATTTGGTCATGCACCTTTACTGTGGCTCCAGGGAAGAAGAGCCAGTTGGCCGTGTCCAGAGGGTCCAGGCTGTCCTCCAGCAGCGGGGGCCGGTTAGCCGTGTTCAGCACCAGTATGTTATCGAGGCCCCAGCAGGACTCATAACCATCGGGCCCCACGGGTGGCTCCTGACTCCAGCGCAGATGAACGGCCTCCCCTTTACAGCCCGGAGGCAATGGCAGGAGATGGACCACTGTGCTGCTGTTAGTGGGAGCCCTGCCAGACCAAATACATACGATAAAAACACTGCAGAACTGAACATACAAGTGCTCAAGCTCATTCAGACATATGCAACCTTAAATTATGAGTTTTTATAGCACAAAATCCATGCACTGCTCATGGCGTTTTTACATAACGGTAACAGTAATACTGTGAGTGTGTGGGAGCCATGTCCTAAAATAAAGTAAAACCTGATCTTTTCCAAGGTGATCCAGTCATCAGAGGAGTTCAGACCACAGGAGATGATGATACTGGGGTCCGAGTAACTGAACCGACAAGATCCAGATCCTGAACAACCAACACAAATGCACACACAAGAACGTCACACATTAGAATGGATTCACTTAATAACTTCATACAGAAAAATACATTCAGCTAAATGTGATTTGCTAAGTATTTCAGTAAAAATTTCTAAGCATTCTTAAATCAAGATACATTCACTTGAGATGCAATGTGACATAAGAAGACTTGTTTTCTGAAAAAATTTACATTGTAAAAAATGTACAAAATGGTCTTAATATCTTAAGTCATTTTGCATCTCAAATAAATGCATCTTGATTTAAGAATGTTTAGATATTTTTACTGGAAAACAAGACAAAAATGCATCATTTTTTTGTAAAGTATTCAGCTGTAAACCAATCGTCTATGGCTTCAGGAGCTGAACAATCATGAGCTACAGTAACCACAGAAGGACGGTGACACTCACCAAAGGCAAACTGCAGGACTGATGCGGTGCTCGTGTTCAGAGCCACTGTCGTCTAAAAGAGATGATAAAACCATGAGCTTCTCATTTCTATTCACAGATCACACAGGAATAATGTGAACACAGCATACAAGACACGGCACTGCAAAGCTACACAGCGTCCACACCACCAGTCTTTAATGTGTGTGTGCGTTTTATTTTCTTGTGTAATAATTTAGTTTGATAGTCCACTTTAGTCATTCTACTAACTATCAGTAACTTTGCAACTCCATGTCAACTAGCAGTCATTCGAGTATTAGTGATTGTCTGCTTAATATCTATATCTAATATCTTAATATCTATCTATCTAATAATAACTTTATTCTGATGGACATTCTACTGACTATAAGTCACTCTGAGGAGTTTGGCAGGAGTTTTGTATGGACAGAAGTGCATCTATTTGTTTGAGAAGCACAACTCACTGCCTGCTGCTGTTTGTCAACATCCAGACCTTCAAGACAAAATGTGCTGTTTTCACTTGATTACATCTGTTCTGTAAACAATTACCAGTTCTCTCTGTCCAAAGGGCTCACAAAACGTCACTGCTTTTCCGTGCATCAGCGCACCACACTGCTCTCCAACCTCACAGTTACTGCAGTCTGACCTGCGAGAGAACCAGCCATGGACAATAATCACATCTTCTAGCTTTCTATATGGCATCAATGCAAGCTATTATATAGGAAATGAAAACAGCTTCACTGCCAAGTAAACAACTCAAATAAAGACAAGTGTTACTCACCAGATATTGAGATTAAGCTCTTCTTGTGAGTTGTGTTCAAAGTCATCCCGGAGAACAGCATGATCACCATGAACCACAGCTTTACATCGGCGACAGACACCGAGGACAGACACAGAGACAGGAGCACAGTGAGGAGCAGTGAGGAGTAACGTCAGCACAAGTGTGTCTGCTGATGCTTTTACTCACCTAGACTGGGCCGAAGAGGAGATTCAGTGGGAGCTTAAAGAGACAAAACAAAAACATCCCTTACATGGAACATTTCTAATTAAAGACTTGTAAATATAAAAAGATACAAGGAGAAAGATTGGTAAGGATAATTTTAATAAATATACAGTTTATGGAATGAACATTCAATCCCTTTGTAATTAATACAAAGAAGCCTGCAAACATTAAATGACTTCATTATGGAGATTTTGGAATGTTATGTTTCTCAATCACTGATCGGTCAAACATTTTTCTCCAATGACAGTTGCTGTGCATTTGACATTCGTGTGTCTTGTATCGCTCTATCTCTTGCTCTCTTTCATTCTGGAAGTCAGAAGAACTAATCCTGAAGGACTTTAGCATTATTATTATTATTTAGCACTGATTTTACAGTGATCTTAAAGCTTGTAATTATATTCCAATAGCCGGAAGCTGAGGAGAGCACTGATGATCGTCAGGGTCCTGATCTCACTGTGAGGGTTTATTTTGCCAAAATGACTCTAATGATCAGTGTCTCACGGCTCTATATGAAGGGAAACGGTTTTCTCTGTACTTCATCTAAAAACTAGGACAATGTCACTCCCATGAGTCTTCACCTCCTACTCCAACAAAATATTACTAATGTAGGAGCATTTCACACTCCTACCTCTCTCCGTCTGTGGTGTCTGGATCCTGTGACAAAACTATAAAAAAATCAAGTACAGCCTGCTGTGGACATTTTTAGATGGAGAATGAAATGTTTTCTTTAATAAAGGTCATTGAGGAACAATTCTTTTGATTCTTTTATTCATTTGATCAATTCCTGTTTGAATGTTTTTGAAAGTTCTGTGCTTTGTTGCAACCCCAAAACCACACTGTATCCATAGACAAATAACACATTTCAGTACAAACTCCAACCCAGCAGTAAAACCGAACCTTAAAGTACTGAGTCTAATCACATGAGCCGTATACTGATCTAAAACAGCTGTTGCTCCAGACTGTTTTCATGAAAGAATTGAATGAATGAACTGAATGGGTTTTGTGGCTGAATTACTTTGACAGACTCTTGCTCCAGATGTAAGGATCGGACCGGCAGCCGTTCTCTGAATGTCTGTTTGTGACTGAGATCACGACTACTTATTCTTAAACCCAAATTTATGCTGAATTAAATGAACCCCTGGTCAAAAACGCCATTATTTCTGACAGCACTTTTATGCAAAATACTGGACATTAAATCAGACATATTCATCACACAGTTATTCATGATTTTCCCTACACATCATCCTCTTGCTCACCAGAATCCGCTTACATCCCTCAGAAGCTGCTGACGGCTAACCACCATCTTATTATCTAACATGAACAAAAGCCTGCTACTTTAATCAATGTTTGGTTCTGAAGATCATTACAACCACAGTAATTTAAATGTATGACAGGACCCAACACAAAAGGTTTGATTCGACTAGACAGTGTATGGATGTTATTCTCTAATGCCAACAGGTGTGATGAATGATTAACTCTTATTTATATATGTATAGGTGTTACTATTTGTAATTTCACAGATGAAATGAAACATCATAACAAATGATTTTAGGGTTGGAGCTAAACTCTGCAGGACACCGGCCCTCCAGGACCCAGTTTGGACAGCCCTGATCAAAACCAACAACATGTACAGTATATTATGAATTTGTCAGTGTCATTAGGATATGTCCCAGAAACCATCAAACTGGCTGTTTTTAAGCCTCTCATTAAAAAAAACACAACTTGATCCTAGACAACTGGTTAATTACAGTCCGATCTCAAATCTTCCTATTCTGTCAAAAATACTAGGCAGTATCTTCACAACTATGTTCCCTCTTAGAGAAAAATGGTATCTGTGAGGATTTTGCTCCAGATGTAAGGATCGGACCGGCAGCCGTTCTCTGAATGTCTGTTTGTGACTGAGATCACGACTACTTATTCTTAAACCCAAATTTATGCTGAATTAAATGAACCCCTGGTCAAAAACGCCATTATTTCTGACAGCACTTTTATGCAAAATACTGGACATTAAATCAGACATATTCATCACACAGTTATTCATGATTTTCCCTACACATCATCCTCTTGCTCACCAGAATCCGCTTACATCCCTCAGAAGCTGCTGACGGCTAACCACCATCTTATTATCTAACATGAACAAAAGCCTGCTACTTTAATCAATGTTTGGTTCTGAAGATCATTACAACCACAGTAATTTAAATGTATGACAGGACCCAACACAAAAGGTTTGATTCGACTAGACAGTGTATGGATGTTATTCTCTAATGCCAACAGGTGTGATGAATGATTAACTCTTATTTATATATGTATAGGTGTTACTATTTGTAATTTCACAGATGAAATGAAACATCATAACAAATGATTTTATAACTGACTTTAACTCTCTAGAGAACATTGCAGGCTCTCTTTAATCTCACAGTTCAGTCTTTCCTTATCTAAAGCCTCTGACACGTCTAGCTATAATTAACCACATTAAACCTTACACTCAGAAACCTTCATCTTCTCTGGAAAAACCTTTTTATCTTCTAAACTGTACCGATATACCAAAAATAATATAGTCAATCTTTCCCTCAATAACCTCAGATAATCTTTACCCAAAAGCCATCACATTATAATGATAAAGCAGCTGTGCTCTATTTCATTTGCTGACCTATTTCTTTCAGAACTCACACACACACACACACTGTGAAAGTCTCCTGAGTGAATGTGACTATGAATGTAATGGTTGAGTTCTGAATGTAATTGCAGGTTCAGACTGCAGTTTCCAATCAAACGTCCACTGGGTGGCGCTACTGCGACTGTTACTCCCATTCAGACAAATCAAGTTCACAGAGGAAGGTTATCAGTTACTTATGCTCTGGAATATAGTTTGCAATTTAGCTGAGCCAATGCAAATATTTGTTAAATAAGTCACGCATGGTTTTTCTGCATCGATGCAAAAGTCATGGGTTCAAATCCCAGAAATCAGACTGAAAGATTCATTCAGCACACAGACTGGACATTCAGAGCCTTCAGTGCTTCAGAAAGTCTGATCTTTATAATCAGATTTAACATCCAAACCGCGTGAGCTGATTTAAAAGTAAACAGAACATAATTTGGATATTTATTCAGCTTGTGTGTATTTAAGTCTTGTCCGTATTGGCCTGTAGTAGGAGGGACAAACTGTGATTTTGGAAAACCGTTTGCAGAGCGTTTCTCATGAGATAAGGCTGGAAACTAAACAGAAACAATGTTTTGTTGACTTGTGTACTATGAATGCTGGGTAACGGGAGTGACGGCTCTGGCTTTCCTCATTGTCCTCCTCTGTAAAACCTTATCAAGTGTTTGGATGAAGAGACAGATTTTACCAGCAGTCTTGGTGAATATTCACTTTTATCACACTGACACTGTTTACTAACATGTCAAACAGCAATTCCACTGAACGAACACACACACACAATTAATTTCTTTACTTCCAAGATCGATACTACTGTATCAGAGAGAAAATTATAACCATACAGCAAGCAGCCACAGTATCGTATCAGATGGATTTCCAGTCAGGATTTAGACCGTATCATAGTACTGAGACTGATGACCTGCTCTTATCATCCGATCGTGGCTGTATCTCTCTATTAGTGCTACTCGATCTATCGACACTATCAACCCCAACATTATTTCGAATAGACTAGAAAATGATGTTGGCATTAGTGGAATTGCATTGGCATCATTCAAATCTTACTTATCTGACCGCCATCAATTCGCAGCAGTGAATGAAGAAGTATCATATCGATCACAAGTGCAGTATGGAGTACCTCAAGGCTCAGTACTAGGACCATTGCTTTTCACGTTTTACATGTTACCCCTGGGAGATATCATCAGGAAACACAGTGTTAGCTTTCACTGTTATGCTGATGATACTCAGCTCCATATTTCTTCACGGCCCGACGAAACATACCAATTTGAAAAACTAATGGAATGCATAGTTGATATAAAAAAATCTGGATGGCTAGTAATGTCCTACTGCTAAATTCTGAAACAAAAAACAAAAACAGTGGTGTTAATTATTGGACCAAAAACATCTGCATGTAATAACCTAGAACACTCTCTAACACTTGATGGCTGCTCTGTCAATTCTTTGTCATCAGTTACGAACCTATGTGTGCTAATTGATAGCAATCTTTCCTTAGAAAGCCACATTTCATTTGTAAAACTGAATTTTTCTATCTTACAAATATATCTAAATTATGACATATGCTCTCAATGTCAAATGCAGATTGTTTCTAAACGAATCAGGCGTTTTGAACAAACTGTTTGAATAAATGATTCAATGAGCCATTCATAAAGACAGTCACTTGCTTTGTTTCTAAACGAATCAGGCGTTTTGAACAAACTGTTTGAATAAATGATTCAATGAGCCATTCATAAAGACAGTCACTTGCTTTGTTTCTAAACGAATCAGGCGTTTTGAACAAACTGTTTGAATAAATTATTCAATGATCATTGTTAGATTATTGTAATGCTTTATTGGGTGGTTGTTCTGCACGATTAATAAACAAACTCCAGCTGGTCCAAAATGCAGCAGCTAGAGTTCTTACTAGAACCAGGAAGTATGACCATATTAGCCCGGTTCTGTCAACACTGCACTGGCTACCTATTAAACATCCTATAGATTTTAAAATATTCCTGATTACTTTTAAAGCCCTGAATGGTTTAGCACCTCAGTATTTGAACGAGCTCTTATCGCATTACAATCCTCCACGTCCGCTGTGTTCTCAAAACTCTGGCAATTTGTTAATACCTAGAATATCAAAATCAACTGCGGGCAGCAGATCCTTTTCCTATTTAGTGCCCAAACTCTGGAACAATCTACCTAGTGTTGTTCGGGAGGCAGACACGCTCTGTCAGTTTAAATCTAGATTAAAGGTCCATTTCTTTAACCTGGCATACACTGTAACACACTTGTTACATTGTTAGAAGAATGGCATCTACTGTACGCTATTATTAGTCTGTTTCATTTTGATTCCGAGGTCACCGTAGCCACCAGATCCAGTCTGTATCCAGATCAGATGGTGGATCAGCACCTAGAGACGACCTCTACAGCCCTGAATGTCAGTGGAGACCAGGACAACTAGATGAGCCCCAGAGACAGATCTCCTCTGAAGACCTCATCACCTAGACGGCCATCGGCACAAATCCTCAGCAAAGACCACAAGAACCAGACGAGTCCTTTGCACAGACCAGCTTCGGCTCCTTCACCATGCGATGTTCCACGTGGAGGGAACTAGATGGATGTTCCGAGTGATGCCAGTTCACAATCTGACTTTGCTGCAGCCTGGAATTAAACTGCTGGTTTTGTCTGGCCAGAGGAGAACTGGCCGCCCGACTGAGCCTGGTTTCTCCCAAGGTTTTCTTCTTCATTTCTGTCACCGATGGAGTTTTGGTTCCTTGCCGCTGTTGCCTTTGGCTTGCTTAGTTAGCGACACTTAATATTTGTCAATATCATGGCCTTGATTGCACAGACCAGGGGCAAGGCATTCAGTGATGTCATCGTACAGCTCAGTTCAGTTCTCTTCCAATAGTGTCTGTGCCAGAGGTAGGCAAGTTCCGCCCTGGAGAGCCGCTGTCCTGCAGAGTTTAGACCGAACTTGCCTACCCCTCGCACAGACACTATTGGTAGAGAACTGAACTGAGCTGTACGATGACATCACTGAATCAACAATGAACTGACTTAAACTGGCTGGTTACTATTGTCCTCTTTTTAGAGCTTCTATAGCAGAATAAAATTTTATTTGCGTTATTGACACACTATTTTCCTGTTTAACACTGTAAATATGCTTTGACACCCTCTGTTTTGTGTAAAGTGCTATATAAATAAAGGTAATGTGACACACACACACACATGATCTTTGTCTGTGGAGTTCTGCTCTCGTTCTCTGCCGTTCATTCGTCGACCTCTTCTTCTGTCTACATCAGGCATTCACACAGCAGACAGTCACACTCGTTTCAGGCTTAGTTTAATCCTCGATCGCTTTCTTAAGAACTTTAATTACCTCCGGCGCTCTTCCTGTAGATCTGTGCTAATGCGACCGGCTTACACTGACAGTTTAACAGCCCCGCGCTTCCCATGAGCCTCGGCTGCAGATTTGGAGCGGGCCGGTTCATTCTCCAACTTCTTTAATGCAAAGCCGGACATTCAGATGAAAGTTGGCACTGGGTGTTATTAAGTGGTGCGAGCACTTGCGTTTGGGTGTCTGAGGCGCAGGACATTATTTTCCAGCGACACATCTTTCATCTTTAGCGCGTCTCTCCATCTAGAGGCCGCGTGTCTGCTGTCATATATCTGCTCTGCTTCTGATCGTCCTCCTCTCCTCTGCCCAACACTGATCGCCCCCCGTGAGTTATAGTCACTTTTCGATAATCAATCCTCAGGGATACGAGTCCAGCGTGTCCCATAAAGCACTAATTTATGGAGCTGCTGGAAATTGCAGAGTTCTCTGGTCGCCTTTCCTCATCCCAACCTGTCACAGATATCACTCTTTGATATACTAGCGTCATCTGCAGCTCTCTCTCTCTCAGTGAAGTTCTGCTGCTCTTAAAGTCTCTTTTTAGCATGCCTTTATGTGTTTATCTGTGGATACATGCTGTCATTTGTCTATTCATTCCAGCTAGTCTTCTGGATCGTTTCACTTTTATACACTTGATGATTTTCCTCTTTCTGCAAGGACACTAATGGTAAACAGTGGGTAATAAAATGCAACAGTCTGGTTTCAGAGGTACAAATCCATTCATTTTCTCCATAACAATAACATATAAAGCTTTCAGCACAGACCTACTCTGAGCTCAGAATCTGTTCAATTATGAAATATACTTCTGGTCCGTGAGATTTTTAACTTTACAATATGCTGCGTTCAACACTCAACACTAAAATCCATCAGTCAGAATCACTAGTACCACAGAAATCATTGTCACCAATCTGAATATAAACCACTGCAAATGAGTCTCTCTAAACTCTTAAACTACTTACATATTTGCATTTGATTCACACTATCCACAATAAAGCTGCTGTCATCCCTATTGCTTTTATAAAAACAATTACCACATAATAAAAACACAAGTACCCTTGTGAAAAAGAAGTGTGGGTAACACTTAATTTTACAATTTCCTTGTTACACATGTTGCATGTTCTTATTATAGTAATAACAGTAAATTATGCATAATTACATGCAACTAACTCTAAACCAAACTTTAATCCTAACCATAAAGTGTGTACGGTACATGTTAAAGATAAAATAGTACTCACTATTAATGGTGTAATTACACTGTAATAAAGTGTAACCTGGTATTGAATGTGCACTTGCAGTGTACGTTAAATCTTTAAAGTATTTATTTTAAAAAACTGTAATTGCAGATAATATCAATGAAATAAAAGGCCACTTAATTGACTTAATTGTTTCTTACCACACTTAAGTCTACTTTTAAAAAGTGCACTTTGTATTAATGTCAAATTCTGCTTTTAGGTGCATCCAAATAAGCACTCTGAAGTTTAACTATTTGCATTTAATAAAAATTTGAACTGTATAATACGTTTTCAGTAAGTGTCCAAAAAAACAGTACATTAAGTTCACACTTATGATCACCATAATGAACACTCTTTTTTCAAAAGTGCATTTCTTTTTCATAAGGGCAGACACACAAATCTTCATAAAATCATCTGAATCATCAGGTTAATGACGAGTCTTTCTTCCAGCAGTACATCTATGTAAACTAAGGTCAATGTCTGCTCTATGTAGTGCTGTACAGTGACATATAGACGAGTGGTTTTGTCTTATTGCTCTCTAGAGGCCACAGCACTGCTGAAATACGCTCTATTCACTGGTTGTAGTCTCGCTAACCCTTAACCCCACATCTGCACACGCCGCTTTGAAACATTATCAGCCAGTCAAATGTCTGCGCCGTCCTCGCTCACTTTCTTAAAGCTTCAGCGGCTCTCAGTCTCAGATCTTCTCTTGAGCCGTGGGTTAATCTGCTCATGTCTCATCACTGATGGAGATTCGCCTCATTTCTCTATTTCACGTCTTCAGTCCTGCTGGGATATTTATAATTCCTTTAACCACTCAAAGCTTTAAGCCCTTCAAACTTGAAATGGACTTCTTTAAAACCTTCATGTGTAAGTGCTGGAAAAACTTTCATGCCCTTATATTGTGTGTTATTCAGTAGAGTGCGTGGCAGGTTGAACGTTTGCATAAATTGTCTTTGCACACACATATGAAGAGATTTTAGTTTTTTAGTAAGTATTCAGATTTTAGTAAGAATGCCTGTGTTCTTATAGTTTGGCAAATAGACCGTCAGGTGAGTACAACATTCATACTATTCAACCTTTACTGTTAATGTATAGGAATGCCTGTGTGTTCTGTCATTTGACGTGCTGCACATGCTGAAGATCAGACTGTGTGTATATTTAGTTTCTCTGTGATTTCTCTAACACCCATCTGAAGTTTACGGATCAGAGATGCTCCTCACCTCCCTGCTCACAGAGCTGCTGCGCCAGAGCGTCCTTGAAGATGATCTGTCCTCGGTGCGTCGCTGTGGCCCTGAGGGACAACAGACCGAGAGAAAGAGAGAAATATTACAGAGCGTCAGCCAGCAGAAGTAGAGGAGATAGATAACCTGCCCATTACCTAAAAGAAGATGAAGTGTTTCTGCTGGAAGTGGATAAAAATTCTGGAGGAGGACTGAAATCTGGCTGTAGGTCTTCATGTCAGAGACAGCGATTAGAGGTCAAGAGGTCAGGAGGAGGATGAGGCTTTATGAGCTGTTAGGAGCCTCTTTATAGACAGCGGTCTCATTGCATTGGCATAAACCGGGGTACGGGATCGATTTATACTTACGCCTCAAACCTACAGCGCAGACTGACAAAAATATGTTCTAAAATATGTTGGAACATTTTGATAATGTTCCCATTAAGTTATGAAAACTTTATTTCGGAATGTTCTCTGAATATTCAAAACATCCAGTTTTTAAATATAAAGTTCTGTCATGAAACTCTAGATGGCGCAGTCCAATAGGTCAAACTCAGTCTGACCTAATAACATCATTATCACATGGCGCAGCTGATTGGTACTTTTTGTATCGGCAGCCAATGAGCTTGCTGCTCAACATTCAAATACTTCACTAGTGCTTGCTGTAGCAGTTGCAGCGCGCTTCAGAAACCCTCCATCTTCCCCAGCTCCACCTGTATAGATCTGCTATGGGGTGATTCATGTATGCTACATGGGGGTTATTTCATATATGTTATATGTGCAGCAGAAGTATTTCTTTCATGCTCACAGCAGCATGTTGTGGATGTATTAGCAAGTCTCAGTACTTGCTCTGCCGCAGCAGATCCATTCCTGCTCAACATTCAAATACTTGGCTAGTGCTTGCTGTAGCAGTTGCAGCGCGCTTCAGAAACCCTCCATCTTCCCCAGCTCCACCTGTATAGATCTGCTATGGGGTGATTCATGTATGCTACATGGGGGTTATTTCATATATGTTATATGTGCAGCAGAAGTATTTCTTTCATGCTCACAGCAGCATGTTGTGGATGTATTAGCAAGTCTCAGTACTTGCTCTGCCGCAGCAGATCCATTCCACCAAAACCAAATACTGTACATCAACATTGTCATGTACATTACCATGCCAATCCCTCCAAAAGTTGTCATGACACAAATGTTTTTAAGGAGTTTTATTAGTTATATGAATGTCACAGGAACAACCATTTTTTAATTCAATGTTTTGTGAATGTTACAATTGAATGTTCTCTGAACGTTCTGAAACCAATAGTAACATTAAAAAAAAGCGTTCAACAATAACATTTCAGAAATAAAAGGATCCATGGACAATGTATAAATAATGCCTTTGTGCTGACGTTTTGAGAGCATTATTAAAGACTAGAAAACTCCCCATCAAAAAAAATAAAAAAGGTTCTAAGTTTTGCTAATGTTATGAAAACATTATTTATGAATGTTCTCTGAAGACCACAGCTGTGATTGGATTCACATTCTGAGACTGAATGGATGGAGTCTGATTGCTGGAAGCTTCTAATGAAATAATCTTTTGGTTAAATATTTCAATTCACTATATTAAAAAATCCCTGTACTACACCGCACACACACACACACACACACACACAATTGCTGGATATTGTTAGCCTGTAACGTTTCATAGTTTCCGTGTTGTTTTCCCTTCCTTTCGTGTGTTTATCTTGGACTGTTTATCTGTTTTATGATCGTTCGCTGCCTGCCCTGACCTTCACCTGTTTTTGGATTTCCCTTTTGGATTACCTTGTTTGCTACTGTTTGCTGGTACTGTACCTTGCCTGTCTGACTACATTTTTTTTTTAAAGCCTGTATTTGGATCCACATCTCCGTTGTCACGACTCCTTGTTACATTTTTTGAGATTTACAGCTCAAACAAAAAGCTTCTTTGAGTTTTTATGGAAAGTGTGTAAAAAGAGTGATATAAGCATATAAAGCAAAATACAAAGAGAGACTAATAGATCTAATTGATTTAATTCGTCGCTTGATGGCCTATTTTATTTCAAGTGTACTTTCAAACAGTGAGGGGGAAAAAAAATCACAAAAGCACTTAACTTTCCAAAGCTTCCAAAGTTCCCAGCCAATGCTTTTGGTCAGAATATACAGTATTCTCCTGTGTCTGGTGTTGATTCCTTCACCTTTGTGTTCGTCACCAGTCTTTTCATTTTATTAAAGAATGAATCATTTGTAACAGAAGCTTAAGCGGAGCATGTGGATATAATTCAGCCATAGCGGAGTGTATTAATAGCAGCTCTCGTGACCCGCGTGTCCACACACACACACACACACGCTGTGGGCTTTCACAGCCTCCTCGCTCAACATCTCACCTCATCTCAGATAAAGACCTGCAGCAGCTCCTACAGTTCAGTCTTCTGTGTTCTGTGACCTGCGGCTCAGCTCTACAGCATTCGCTGATGGTGGTTTTGTGCTGCTTTCCTTCCCTCTACAGACATGAATAGCTCTTTGCTTTCAGGTCAAAGAGCTGCACAGGCCGTCCTATAGCTCCATTAACCACATGTAAGACCGCTGGTGATCTGCTGTTTGCCACAGAACCTGGTTTTAGACTTTTACATTTCATCATTTCACAGATGCCTTCCTCCATTTATTGATGAATACACTTTTAATATTACTGTTACACAGAGAGTCTTACTGAGAGCAAGAGGATCATGCAGCTGTATTTAACAGAGAAAAACACTAAAATCCAAGAACAAAGCCTTATAAAAACCAAGGTAAATGTGAGGGCTAAAATACAGGAGGACTAATGGGACACAGCTGATAACAAATCGACAAAGGCTGTGTCTGAAATCTAATGGCGCTTTTCCACTGCGGGGTACGACTCGGCTCGGCACGGCTCAGTACGGCACGGCACGGTTCGGCTCGGCACGGTTTGCGTTTCCACTGCAGTTCAGTACCGCTTTAGAGTGGGCGGGATAATTCACATGTCGTTATAGTTGCGCCGCCTCTACTACCACGACTCCTAAAAAAAACGTTTTCATTCCGCGTCGCCCCATCAAGCTCTCGCTGGATCCGCTCCTCTGCTATCAACGAGAGGAACGTCTGTTCTTCCGCAACAGACAACAAAACTTTTTGGTTGTTAAAAAAAGGTGCGCTCGTTCAAAACAGTTGAGTTCGATCCTTCGCTGGCTGTGCTGATTTAAATCTAGCGCTTCTGTTGTGTTTGTGTCGCAAGTTCAGTGACGATTCTCTCTGGCCAATCCGTGATCAGCAGAGTTTACACGTCACGTTTTGGTAACGGTACGGTTCACTTGGAACCTCAACCGAGGTGGTACTAAAAAAAGTACCAGGTACCAGGTACTCTACCCAGTGGAAAACCCCCCAAAAGTGAACCGTACCGAGCCGCACCGTGCCGTACCATGCAGTGGAAAAGCGCCATATGACAGCTGCCTTCGGGCTCTGGTTTATGAAGATCCTTATGTCTAATGATCAAGAGCAATTTCATATAGGCTTTAGCTTACTGACTTCCAATGCTTGTGATTCCACATCCAGCATAAAATGTTACATAATTACATATTAAGTCGTTGTTCTTCTTTCAACCGAAACAGATGACGGCAACTTAATAGACAGCATGTCATGCAGTTTTTGGATTATGGATGCTCTTCCACCTCCATACTACCTGTGAAGACCTGTTTTCTAACCCTAGTATAGATGATGTGTCATGTTCTTAAATGTATTCAATAAATGCCATTAGAATAATAGTTCGATCTTGCAGATTTGCATTGCACAACATCAGAAAGATCAGGCCCTTTCTAATGGAGCATGCTGCACAACTTCTTGTCCAGGCCCTTGTCATCTCTAGGCTGGACTACTGCAATGCTCTTCTGGCTGGACTTCCATCAAGCACAATCAAACCTCTACAAACGATTCAGAATGCAGCGGCACGACTGATCTTCAATGAGCCCAAAAGAGCCCAAGTTACACCTCTCTTTATCTCCTTGCACTGGCTACCGGTTGCGGCTCGAATCAAGTTCAAGACATTGATGCTTGCATATAGAACAGCCACAGGCTCAGCACCCGCCTACTTCCACTCACTACTACGAATCTACATCCCCTCCAGAAGTCTGAGATCCGCTAGTGAGCGACGCCTGAGATCTCAGAAGTCTTTGATCCGCTAGTGAGCGACGCCTCGTGATACCAGAACACTTTCCAGAACATTCTCGTTCACTGTTCCTGGCTAGTGGAATGATCTTCCCACCCCTATCCAGAATGCTGATTCCCTGACAATTTTCAAGCGACAGCTGAAAACTCACCTCTTTCGTCACTATCTGACTTCATCCTAAATAAAAAAAAAATTTAAAAAAACTTTGCTTGATGTTTTCCTCAATTGTAAGTCGCTTTGGATAAAGCGTATGCTAAATGAATAAATGTAAATGCATGTAAATAATAAGACTCTACAGGGCTGAAACCAATCAAATGAAATTGATAACAACAAAATCCATCTCTGCACTGCAGAAGTGGCACTGATGCTGCACCTGAAGTGGCATTTAGATGTATTTACACTAGGGCTGTCATCGTTAATGCATGCAATTAATTTTACAATCCTTAACGCGTTAAAATAATTTTACGCAATTAATGCAAAATTACTGAAGCACAATTTATATTCTAACCCTTTAACCTAATTTTGCTACTCTGCTTGCGATTAGATAATTTTAAACCGCTAAACTCCGGCACATTGTATTTATGCACAGGCACAGACATTTCCGTACATTCACGTTGTTTCCACACACATTCACAATAATGTTTTGATTTGTCATGTTTATGTTGCTGTGTTTAGTTATACTGAATGGATCCGTGTACTGTAGTAGATATATGCAGTCAGCAGGCGGTTGGTTTAGGGTTTTATTTATCTTTATCTTTATCTTAAAATTTATCTTGAGAAAAGCTTGCAGAAAATTTAGATTTTTGAAAATCACCCTTCAATCTTTTGGTTTACTTTGCTGGATATAGCAAATGATGACAAAATAAACATTTGAAACAAGATAAATGGTCTATGCTTC